AGGGCAGGAGTTGGTGGGTACATGTCCCAGCCTCCTCAGCCTCTGGTATGTGGTCTGAATAAGATGATGCCAGTAGTGCTGCAATAGGAGCTAGTGAGTAGAGCACTTAAACATTTACAAGGTCAAGAACAGGGATTTATTTGAACATGTCATCCTAAACCTTTATTTTCCATATCCACAAGTGCCTGGCATCTAGTAGGTGTTCAGGAGATGCTTAAGGAATGAACAAACATATGCCTTTGATGGTGGGGCTGAGCAACCTTCAGGGTTTGTTCAAAGACGAGGTATCTGTTAAATGTGCCAACACACACACACCCATCCCCCCAACCCCCAACCCCTGCTTTGAGTTCTCAAGGAACTCCTTTCTCCTTTCCCTCCTAAGGGATCTGGGAAGTAACAATTCATCAGGGGCCTCACTGATGTAGGAGGTTAGGCCAGGATGGCCCTCTGAGATCATCTAGTCAAACCCAATCAATCTCTGAGCTGGAACCAGAACCCCCATGTTCCGCCTCCCAGTGTCTAGCTGTCTTTCCATAGTAGCCACTGAGAACATTCTAAGAACATAATTTTGGAGGCTAACAGCCATGGATATTTTCAGATTTAATTTCAGCAAAGTGTTACCATTTAAGAAAGCCTGCCAGAAAGATAATGCAGATGGAAGTGTACTGTGTAAACTGTGAAGTGCTATCCAAAGGTTAGTTATCTGAGGTCCACTGCCAAGGTCAACAAGACCTGGGTGTAGGGCCAGTTCTCAAATCAGAGGAGCAAAGCAAAAGTTGGTCATTCAAGGGGCCCCTTCCAAATGGGACACTGGTGTCTTTGCTGGAACCAGAAGGACACAGGGGCTTGTTTCTCACCCCCACCCCCCATGCATAATACACTCTTGCTGAGTAAGATGGATGCTTATGTATGTGTTAAAACAGATGATTTTAACAGATGATGATGGCTTTCTGATCTTTCCCCTTTTTCTTGTGCTTTAGAAGCCACACACTAAGCTCCAGCCACCTGTACCACTGGGCAATGGACCGGCTCTCCAAGATTTCCGACTGTCTGTGTGCATGAGTGTTTTTCTCTCACATTAGTTTACATTGGTTCCAGCTGCACTAGAATTTAGATGCTGTGCATACCCTGGCTCTCAAAACCACATTCTTTTGCCCTCACACTACTTCTCTGTCGTCTAACCACTGAAAAAGCATTGTTTTATTGGCTTGGCTCAAGAAAGGAGACCTCGATGAAGAGTAAACTTCCCATTTTCTAGGCTTTCTTATCCTAGCGCTCTACAGAAGGGCAGCCCAGTGTTTGGTGACCTCCTGCATTAGGTTAACAATCTGGATTTGGGCCCAGGGGGATCATGATCCCATGAAGAATGGGGAGCTGATTGTTAACGTCTAATCGTGGTGAAGCTGAGTGGCAGGGCTTACTTTGTCCTGGCTCCCCAGCCTTCTCCCCAAGCATCTCTTAAGCTGCCAAAGCCAATGGGTTTATGTGGCAGGCATTCATTCCTCACGAGCTCCGATTCAAGCGGCTGTGCACTGATTCAGGCTCAGATGTTTCTACACTTAGGGCTTGTAAAACAGTGAAAGAAAAATACAGATAACTCACAGAAAGCCTTCTGTTATAGACTAAAAAAAAGGATCTACTTGTTTCTCTACTGTAATAGGAGCCTTGAAAAGCCCAAATTAAGTGCAGAAAAAGGGTGAAATAAGAGCACTAAAAGCTTAATACTGCATGGAGTCCTGCAAATTTTTCCCAAGTGATATATATGCACCTAAAATGGTGGGTTAAATTCATTTCACCTGCCTTCCCAAATCAAGGTTGTTTAAAGACCTGCATGTCCCCCGAGCAGCACATGGCTTAAACATGTTTGCTCTCCTACTAGGCATGCACAAGTGGGTGACCTTTTGACTTCAGAGGCTGCAAACTCCACCCTCACAATGTGCCTGTATCCTGGTTACACCTGTGCAGAATTTCCACCCTGCACCTTTTCCCAATCACCTTTCCCCAGGCTCCCCACGTCTCACTCCACCCTGATGTTTTATTCCTAAGCCTTCCGGGAGGCAGTTTTCAGGCTTCTTTTCCTGTCTCTCTTTGCTGCAGACCTCAGCATTTCAGCATTTTGATTTGCTGAGCATCAGGCAAAATGGACCTGGCTCGGTAACAGGGTTCAAACTCAGAAGAAAAGTTTTTGCTTCTCTATGGCTGGAAAAAACAAAAGAGCCATGACTTTACTAAGCTGTCATTTTTGAGGGAACTACTAGTAAAATTTTTACTTAAGGTCAAAATCTGGGGAGAAACTAGGAAAAGAGGTGGTTGTCTTCTGTCTGGTTTTCCAAGAATTCATCTAAGTGGCTGAGCCAGACATATCTTGGGACTCAAAGTCGTAGCCTAGTTAGTGATCTCACAATGAACCCAGGGCCTAAGGAAAGCGAGCTTTGCTTTAAAAAAAAAATTGAGTTGGCGAGTAGGTAGGTTCGACGGGAGGGATGGGATGGTGTCAGCTCCCCACTGACTGGGAAAACCTCTCTGCTTTCTACTTTCCTTCTACTCTTTTGGATCAAATGTTTAGCCAGAGTTTGAGAGATGAGATGAGAAGAGAGAAGCTAAGCACAAGGTGACTCTCAACTCTACAGTCACAAGGCTAGACAGCTAAGAGGGGTAGAGAAGAAGAGGGAGAGAAAGGTGCCAGGTGACTTCCGCTTACTTTAAGATGGGGGCAAGAAAGATGCAGGTTTCAGGCACTTGGTAAACTGAAAGCAAACTTCTTTATTGTACACAGTACAGAATATAACGCAGCTTGGCAGGATGCAAACAGCCCTGCGCAGGGGGAAAGTATTTCAAATCAACTGGCAGGTTAAAGCCTTTCTGCACTGTAGATTTTCCACACTCTGGAAAAGAAGCAAAAACAAAAAACCGAAAAACCCCAAATCATCAGGGAGGTGGATGAGTCCAATGGGAATGCAACGGTGACGCGCCAGCCTGTGTCCTGAGACCGCACGGGCCACGTGGCCATAGCGGGGGAGGGGAGCTCAGGCTACAGACGATTCTTTTCATACTTGCTAAGACAGCATAAATCCATCAAAAAAAAAAAAAAAAAGAAAAAAAAACCCAACAAAACCCAAACCCAGATAAGAAAGGGAAAAAAAAAAAATCCTATACAGCATTTACAACAAATTAACCTCTAGCCAGCTTGGGGTAAAATATGCATCTATGTATAGACTATGTGTAGGTTAGAAAGCTATAAATACCATTTGGAAAGAGTCCTTTGATTAGAATACAATGCTAATTAAGGCCCAAGCTACAGGTGCAATACCTTTGTGGGCTAATTAGCTTCCAAGAGGGAAACCTCGTATTTCCACAGCTATGAAATACACCCCTTATCTGTGACCCTCTTCACAAATGTGCTCCTGGTCACCTGGGGGACTGTTTGAGACTACAGAGCGTTCCATCAATAGAAAAACAAAGCCCTGTCCTTTGTGTATGAAGAGTAGCATAATCGTTCCTGTGCTGTGTCAAGGGAAGCACAGAACTCTCAACAGCAGGCAGCAAGGTGCTACCACTTTCTAATGCCTTTTCCTCTATTTTGAGCTTTCATGTAGCTTTAGCTGGGTTGTTTAAAACATTTCCAATAAAATTCGGCGATCAGAGAACTCTTTTGTAAAGTGGCAGGAAACTAAGGCGCTAGTACAGTTTTACCTGTTGGTGTCGCGCATACGTCTCAAACCCTATTGAATCATATGCAGGGTTTAAAGTCCAAGGATTTAAAGAAAAAGGAAAAACAAAACTGGATGAAATGGAAATTGTCATCAGTCATGCCCAGGGAAGACTCCCTAGGGTTTTCCATCAGGTGACCAGGTTTCAAATGGACATGACATGTATTATGTACATATGCTTTCCAGAGAGGGCATGGGAGGGAACATTGGGGACTATACACATAGAATCTAAACGGTGTGTCCAGGCTGCCCTGCACACCTCAAAAATGTACAACTCAGGTGCAAATGTTCCGTCAGGCTGTCTGGTGCAGAAAGCACAAAGCAGGCAATAAAGAGGGCTTGTACTCAGCCAAGGGGACGCCCCCAGCAAAGCCCCTTTCAAGCTGCAGTGTCATCAGAAGTCGGCACTGCCCTGTTTAAAGGGCACAGTGCAGTTACCAAAAGGTTTGTTTTTTTTTTGCTTTAAATACCAAAACTACAAAAATCAGTTTATAAACTGGTTTTCCAAAACAAAACAATCCCCCGAATCAAAGCAAAACAAAATACTGTCAAAAGTGTTAATCACTTTCTCCTAAAATTAAAGCCATCCACACACAGCCATGTGACTGGGAAGAGAGGGGGCTTGCTCTACTTGGTGACCACATGGCCAGAAGGTTCCCAAGAGTAGCAATGGTTTATTTGAGAACCGTGGAGTGGGTAACAGCTATTCATCCTTTTCCCCTTCTTTCGAGACCAAGGGGAAACATTTCAGTGAGCTGCAAGAGCTGTCCAAGTTTTAAGGTAATACTTGGCAACCCTTCCTGGTTTGAGCCTCCCAAACTTAGCCTACCTCCTGTTCTATGGGTTTTGTGACTCACTTTTTCAATAAATTGTGCAAATCAGAGCCCTTCTATGTAAAGGCATTTAGTAGTCCTTGATCAATGCAGATTGTCACATACTCTGTCCTGGTTTGCGGGTACCAACCTGAACAAGGTATTGCTTTGCATATATATATTGTCCATGGGAAGGAGGCTCCATTTCAAACGCTTCCCAGAAACCTTGTCAGGATCAAGAGCTGAGGCACCAGCCTTTGGGTGGTTTTCTGCCCCTCCCTGTTCCCACTCCCCCACCAAAGTTTCTGTCCTTAAGGGTGCCAATCCGGAGACAGATTGGATTCTCTATCTCTGGAGACAGATAATACTCAAAGGGCAAGCTCTAGGAACAGCCAGAAACACAAACAAAACCACTGTTCTCATTTGCCTGAATGGGAACTGCTAGCTCTAGGGTTTGGCCGCTCAGCTGCTCAGAAACTTAGTAAGCAAAGCCTTCGGCATAGGGGAGGCTGCCGCAGCGGTCCACATCCAGGAGGTAAGCAGGGTTGTCCTCAAAGTGGGTCAGTGGGAGGGTGTCCTCCTCGCTGAGGTGGCACTCAGACTCTGCTTTCAGGAACGGACGCTGGTTGTCGGGGAAGGCCATGGAGAAAAGGGCATCGGGGTCGCAGACAAACTTGTAGACGTATCGTTCCCCGGCCACCTAGAGAGAAAATGCACCTGATGAGGCCCAGTTGAAACAGGGCATGGGGTGTGGGCGCCAAGGGAAGAATGAGATATCTGTTAAGTCACCAAGCTCTTGGGCAGCCTGGGACCAAGAGGCTCAATGGTAGTTGATTATCCAAATCCTTCAATTTATTTTGATAAACCATGGGGACCTGTTACCTGCTAAGTGTTTTGACACCACAGCTTAGCAGCTGAAAATGTATGAATATCAAACTCAGGTTCTTCTTAAAAGAACATCCTTGCTGTTAAAATCAGTCTAGAAACAACGGTTATGCTGAGGTTGGTGTTATGAGATATAAGGATTGAAAGATGAAGGAGTCAGCCCATGTGTTCAGTTTCCTCAAGTTTACAGTCTTCACAGGACAGCTTTGTTGTCCCACAGGGCTAGGAATTCAGAAGCTATGTGGGAATGTATAAGCTTGTTCCAAAACCAAATAGAACTGCTTTTTGGCTTACCTGCAGTTAAAAACGACTAATGCCATGGTTTTGCTACATTGAAGGAACTGCAAACTACCTTTATATGAATTTTATGCATTATAACATTACTTGAACCAGCTAATCTTGATTAAGGATGACAGGTGTATACAATCACTCATTACTATTTGGGTTTTTTAAAAGCCAGTTTACTGTTAAATCTCTGGTTCCCCAGCCAGAGTCAGTTCACATGTGGAAGAGCTAGGCAGGAGGATAAAGTGATGATAATACTAGCTCCGAAAGTCGAGTTGAATGGCTTCTGGCCCTGGCTTGGTCACTAACAAGTCTCAATCTCTATGAATCTGTTTTCCCTTTCAAAACCTGAGGGAATGGAGGGTTATGAGGGTATGGAGGGTATGGAACTAATGCTTTTCTGAGGCCCTCCGCAGATCAGTATGCTACCACTCCTCTTTCATTTAGTTCTCATTTACTCATAGGTCACATGATAAAGCAATGATCTCTTACACTGGACAGCAAGTTACTATTTTTAGGACATTTTCACATATATATTACCCCTTTGAGATTAGATCAAGAATTATTAGCTACACTTTCATTGGAAACAGGCTTTGGAAGGTTGACTTTCCTTAAAGCATAAATAAATGGGAGTGTTGGGATCTGAGCCCACCCAAGTCTCATTCCTGTGCCTTCCTCTGTACTATTTTATGCTTAATTCTCAGAGTTCTCTTCTTCTTAGAAAACCTAGGGACAAGTTCATAGGCGCAATTCATTGCCGTTAGTTCAAATTAACTGTCTTGGTTACATTCCCTTGGATTGGATCTGTAGTTGGGAATCACAAAGCCAGTGGTTTCTTTTCTAATGGCCCTCCTTCCTAAGTTTAGAATTCTACCTGATAGTGTTAACACTGAATGGGGAGAGTGTGTGAACTTGCAGTGGGGAAAAGGGGTAGTGACTGCTAATGGGTTCAGGGTTTCTTTTTAGGGTGATAAATTGTTCTAATGGGCTTCCCTGGTGGCTTAGTGGTCAGGAATCTGCCTGCCAGTGCAGGAGACATGGGTTCAATCCCTGATCTGGGAAGATCCCCTGAAGAAGGAAATGGCAACCCACTCCAGTATTCTTGCATGGAAAACCATATGGACAGAGGAGCCTGGTGGGCTACAGTCCATGGGGTTGCAGAGTTAGACACGACTTAGAACATTTTGTTGTTCAGTTGCTAAAACTGATTGTGAGTGACAGTTGTACTAATCTGCATACATATTAAAACCCCACTGAATTGTACCTTTAAAAAGGGGGGGGAATAGGTAGGGTGGGGTGGTAACCCATTTTAGAGTATCTATTAACTATGCCAAGCACTGAAGTCGAACCCTCAGTTTTGCCCCAAAGGAGCTGACATTCCCGTGGCAGATACTGACAAGCCAGGGAGTGATTTGCAATACAGAGAGTAGGAAAGTGATGGAGATGAACGCAGGTGCTCTCAGAAGCAGATGGGACCATGTAACTCAGCTTGAGAACTTCAGGTTCTTGGAGTAAAGAGGTGATTGAGAAAACAACAGGGGCTGGCCAGGTAATGAAGGTGTTAGGAACGTTCTTAAGTAGGATGGTAGTTTAATCGGTGTTTTTCATTTTATAATATGTTTGATAACTTACATGACTGATAGTGTTTGTTTACCAAACAATACATATTAAGAGAAAGATGGCTGTGGTGGCGGAAGCAGACAAGTGCAGGTGAGGAAATGAGGGTTAGATGGTGCCTTAGAGCCTGTATGAAGCATTAAAGTTTGAGTTTTACCCAGAAGACCATCCATGAAGTTTTAATAATTCAAGGAGATGAGAGGAATACGGGGTCACATTACCACCTGCCTATAAGAAGATAAGCCTGGTTTTAGCACAAGTTCTCAGCAACAATGACCATATAATTCTGAGTGGATCTACCATGTAAAGACTGCCTAAATGTATAAATGCTAGAATCTGGGTAACAGTACAGTATAAAATCTGGTTAAGAAAAACCAAGGATTTGTCATCTTCATCTTTTGCTTATACATGGCTTTTAAGATTTTGGTCTTTCACCACCTAGCACAATAAGGATTTTGTCCTAGCTTCCTCAAAATATGCTTCATCCTTTATTCTGCAACTTGTTCTCAGGCGATTCTGCTGCCATTTTGCAAATCTTGGGTTTTTAACTTGTAGTTTCTAGTTTTTGAAAAAGATTTTCTTACTCCTAACACTTAAAGAGTATTAAACCAACATATTTGGAGGTCTTGGTGTCTTAACAACTAAAGACTTCAACTAAGCTCTTGTGGGAGCAGAGACCTTTAAGTCGATTCTCTCCCTGGCTCCTTTATGGATATAATAGTTGGCCTAAGTATCCGGACAATTAAAAAATTTTTTTCTTTGGCTGCGCTGGGTCTCTGTTGCTATATACAGGCTTTTACTAGTTGCAGCAGGGTGGGGGGCAGGGGCTACTCATTGTGGTGGCTTCTCATTCCTGCAAAGCATGGGCTCTATAGATGGAAGGGCTTAGTTGCTCCACAGCATGTGGAATCTTCCTGAATCAGGGATCGAGCCCTTGTCCCCTGCATTGGCAGGTGGATTCTTAACCACTGGACCACCAGGGAAGTCCTATCTGGACATTTCCATGAGTAGAGACAGTTTAAATAAAGCAGAGGAGGCTAATTTTCCTACAGAGTCTTCCACAACCTCCGGTTTTCAGATACCCGAGAGTATTAAAGGTGCTCTTTGTATCTCATTTTAACTCATTTTTCCCAGATTTTTCCTACCACAGAATCATGAAGCTACCATTTCCTCGAAGCCATTAGTCTTATTATAGAAGCCCTAGACATTTTCTCTGACAGTGCTCTTAATTGTCCCATAATTGTTCACCTTCTGCATGATGCCCTTTTCATAGTAATAGCGTAGAGATCGGCTGAGCTTGTCATAGTTCATGGCTGGCCGGTTCTTCTGAATGCCCCAACGCCGAGCAACCTGAAGAGACAGGAAAGCAATGGAAACTCATTCCCTGGGTCTAGTGGGTTTCCTCCCAATCCCAGGGGAGTGGTCTAGAACCCAACTGCTCTGGTCAGTGATCCATTTCTCTGACTTGAATGGAAAACCACTTAATTCCCTTAAGACCAACATTCAACAAAGGTGATGATTCAGTCGTGGATGCCAAGAAGTGAGACCTGGAGGTGGAAGAATCCTAGCATTTTAAGATTGCAGAGGGCTTGGCTAGCATCCCAGAGGAAGCAGGCTCTCTACTGTTTCTCCACATATGAATTATTGACCAATACCCATAGACCATTAACATGTTGCCATTAAGTGCTATGGTTTCTGTAGCAGTCAATAAGGAATAATTAGAATGGTCATTCCTGAAACATTAGAAACACACTAGTGAGCTGCTAATGGGCCAGCAGAGCAGAAGTTCAATTCTAATAAGATTGGAAGAGGGGCTGGGAGATGTTTACGTATTGCAGTTCATGGAGAAAAAGGGAATCAGATCATTTCAGCCTGCTGCCATCCAATCCCCTGCTCCCAGTGGACTTGTAGAATGGACATTAAAACATGTAGCACCATTATCCATTTAATGAAAAATTAACATGGTTTCCCAAACTGTTGTGAAGTGCATTATATCTAACCCGATCCACCTGAGGTGCAGTGATGGGGGGATGTAATTGGAACTCTGGGCAAAGAAGCCTTAAAGCAAGAAAACTTACTAGTGGAGTTCAGCAAGATAGTCAAGCAATTCTGCTCAAGTATCTCAACATCCCAAACCCTACGTATAAGGATGACTGTCCAGGTAGAATAACCTTGGAAATATGAGGCCTTTAAATGCATGCAAACCAGCGATCACATTTGGAACATTCTGGGTCAGTTTTGGAAACTTAACCAAAATAACTACATTCCTTTAAAAAAAAAGGTAAACATGGAATAAGTAGGGAGACTGCAAATGGAAAAGTGGATCATAAAGCCACATTTCACTTAAAGTATTATTCAAAAGTATCTGGGGCAGACTGAAAGCAACATCTCAACTTAGGATTCAAGATGATCGTTAATAAATATCAGAAATGATCTGATAAGGAAGAAATGCATCTGTCCTAATTATATTACAAAAATTCAACAGTCACGATTCCACATTCCCCTGTAAGAAACTACGTGAAAGTTAAATTTCCATTCATTTGCTTTGTGCCCCATGGTACACGATACCCTGCTTCTCCGCCTTTCTCCATATTGCACCCTTTCAACTCTTTGAAATGACCAAAAAGGCAAAATTAAGCACAAACACATCCCCTGTTTAGAGAAAAACAGTTTAAACCAATAGAAATAGTGGTAAGAAAGAAAACCTGGTAAATCAATACATCAATACATGTCCTTTTTTTTTTTCCTCAAAAGAAATAACACCATGAAGGTATTATTGAACTGCTGTTGGCCACAAGTGATGCAGGAACCCTTAAGAGGCCCAGCCTCCTCATTTGACTGTATTGCAGTGGTGGAAAACTGCTGCTGCTAAGTCACTTCAATCGTGTCCGACTCTGTGTGACCCCATGGACAGCAGCCCACCAGGCTCCTCTGTCCACGGGATTCCCTAGGCAAGAATACTGGAGTGGGTTGCCATTTCCTTCTCCCGAGGTGGAAAACAATTCTTGACTATTTAACTTCAGCTGTGACCTTTCTTTGATGTCACTTGCATATGCAGTAGCTTACTGGAGAGAGGTTTTATATATGCGTAGACTTCAAAGCAGCTCTGGTAGCCATAGTTACTGACTCATCCTCTTGGGCCAGGGCCCTGTGATTCAGTAGCCCTCACTGGGGCTGCTCCTAATGCAGTAATCATGATGCAGCACAACTGCAGAGCAGCTGGGAATAACGGTTGCCCCATTTTTGGGGGGGCGGAGGGAGCAGGCAATAGCTCGCTGCCAGCTCCTTCTTTCCTTCATCTTTCACATTTGTTACTTTGACAGCATCTTGAGGATGGAGGCCGAAGGAGTTAAAAACAAAACAAAAACCAAAACTCAACATCTTTCTTCCTCTCTTTGTAAGAGCGCAGCCACAGCAGCACAGGGAGCGGCTCTTTCTAAGCAGCACGTCCTTTTAAACCTCCCCATGGCATCAGTTATCTGCCACATGTTCAACAAACAACCCTACCCCCCAAAATATTCATTAATGCAGATTCACAGTTAAAATGGCTCCAGATTAAAGCCGAGTCAGTCGTAATTGAGAGGGTGCTAAGCTGGATGACTATCAAAAGACATTTGATTAGGGGGCCTGCCAAAACGCAGTTCTAAAACCACAATTTCCATGCACAGTGTAATGGATATTATGGATAATTACCCAGAGTGCACTACTCAGCCACACAGCTGCCTACAATTACGTCCCAAACAGCTTCCTCCTCCGCTTCACCCTTCAAGCTCCCTCCATGACAACTTCTTAGAGCTTTTTTCGAGGAGTTGGTATCTTCCTGACACTACCAAGTGGAGGGCCCACCAAGTTATACAAGGATTAGAGAGTGGGGAAAAAATGCTGCATGTCCTGGGGCCAAAGCTCACACTGGAACAGAGCTGAGCCTGGGGTTAAGGGAAAGGGACATTCAGAATTCATGGAATGCTCGGGGATTTCAAGCTGCGGTAGCAAGAAGTACTTTCTGAAGAAACAGAGCCGTTTAATCAGCTGACAGAGGTGCAAGGCCACAGGAGACTCCCCTGTGACTGGGCAGCTTGGCATTTATGTGAGCATTCTGGATTAGCATTAATTTCTTTAAGAAAGCTGGGGCCCTCTGCCATCTGTTCATCATTTTCTTTACCATTGGTCGGAGAGCAACAGATTCAATAACGGCTTTACAAAGGGTCATAACCAGGCTTACCTGCAGCTGTACAGCCTCTGCTGAGGCCCAAGGCAGTGGCAATAAAGTCGTAAGAGCTCCTTTTTGTGAAATGAGATAAATCAAAAAGGGCTGCTCACATGACAGACTTGACTTTCAAAAAGCCTCAATGAGTCTGGGCGACATGCTTTCCTCAAGTCACATACAAACCGGGCCACATTATGAGGAAAAGAATGTGGGGTGGATGCCTTTCAGTGCGGCCGGAAACATGGCTCCATTTCTACACGACTTAGCCAAAAGACACCCCCAGGAGAACACAGCAGTACCAAACTTTGGCTCTGAAGACAGAACAAGTCTTAACAGAAATTGTGTATGTATACACACATGTGTATCTTCTCTAACGGCCTTTAATGAAACCTGCCTTCCTCTACCAGTCAGGATTCTCTGTAAGCCTCCAATTCACACATTCTCCTTTGCTCATCTGAACTTTCAGGCCATTTTCTTCCTCCAAATTTCCTGCTATCAGCCCCCATGCCCACCTGTCCCCTTGGGTGTACTAAAGTGAGCCCTGGAACTGACTGAACAACATCTACAACTGCAGTTCCTGTTCAGAAGCCTTCGAGAGCATTGTTCTCATTCCAGTCACACCAACCCAAAGGTATCTTTTGGTTCTTCTGGCTTAATGTGTAACGCTCAAGTCTATGCCACCAAAAGAAGCATATGTCAGACTTTCAGGGAAGTTACTTCTTTTCCATTTCTAATCTCTAGATTCTAAATCAAACAAAAATCAACTCTTTTGAAATAATGGCAAGCCCAGAGCCTGATTTAATTTGCTTTGTGATATTTAGGAAAGGGGAGATTCTATGATGTATCCTCTCCTTTGACGAAATGGCATTGGTTCTGTCCACTGGCCTTTCTGTCAATCTGGGCAAAAAGATGGTTAACAATGGTTTTCTCTATTAACAAAATAAGGGAGGTTTTTTCTATTAACAAAATAAGGAAGGTCTGTTATCTCATTGTGATACTTTAACTTTTGTGTTTTTGCTGTGCTGGGTCTTCACTGCTGCGCCAGTTTTTCTCTAGCGGAGGTGAGCAGGGGCTCCTCTAGTTACAGTGCTTGGGCTTCTTACTGCGGGGGATTCTCTTTTGCGGAGCACAGGCTCTAGAGTTTTCGGGCTTCAGTAGTTTCGGCCTGTGGGCTCAGTAGTTGTGGCTGACTCTCGAGCACAGGCTCAGTACTTGTGATGCAGAGCTTAGTTGCTCTGTGGCATGTAGGGATTTCCCAGACCAGGTATTGAACCTATGTCTCCTGCACTGGCAGGTGGATTCTTTACCACTGAGCCACCAGGGAAGCTCCTGTGATATTACAATTAAACCCCCCCCCCTCAAAAAAAAAAACCACTAGGTTCCTGAGATCAAGATTGACTCATTTCTGATAATGTTATTTCTCTAGAACCATTTTTTTTCATTTATTTTTATTAGTTGGAGGCTAATTACTTCATAATATTGTAGTGGTTTTTGCCATACATTGACATGAATCAGCCATGGATTTACATGTGTTCCCCATCCTAAACCCCCTTCCCACCTCCCTCCCCATCCCACATTTTAAATATACCATAGGACAGTTGCAACTTATATTACCAAAAATGTCTTACAAATCTGTTCACATAATCTCTGACACAGCCTATGACATAGGAGGGCTTATACCAAAAAAGAGTTGGTATCACTGAAAGAACACTTGAAAGACTTTCCAAGAGAGAAAGCAGACCCTTACATGAAGAATGTAAGTCTTCATGGCCTCCCTCCCCAGAGTTTGCAGAAGGGTTACTAATAATTTTTACATATTTTGCAGTGGAGAACTTTGCCTGTCCCAATAATAGAAAAAGCACTGCCAAACCCATTGGCCAGGCCAGAATCTGAATGAGAAGAGCACATCTGACACAGTAAAAAAGCTAGATGGAGAACTAAATAGGAACAAACATCAACAAACCAAAAATCAGCACCCAGTGCTTACCTCCTCAGGTTCTATCAGCTTGAATTCCATGCCTCGGCCTGTCCAGGCAATGAAGTGGGCGTTGGCTGGGTCATCAAGAAGGGTAACCAGGAACTGCCAGAGCTGAAGGGAACCTCGCCTCTGGTAAGGGGGCCCCTCCCGAAACATGGTGGGCTCCTGTTTCACTTTGCCTGTTCAGGATAAAGATACATATGCAGTACTTTAGTCTCAAGTTTCTCACCTGATTTGGGCAAATGTTGTCAACCTGGCATCAAGATGACTGACGAAGGTGCTCTGACATGGCAAGAATTCCAGCTTTGCACCAAACTAGATGGGGCCACTTACCTTCCAGTCTCTCGGGAACAACACATGTGTCATCAAAGTACAACCGGGGATCCTTCTCATATGAAAAACCTGAAGGAGAATTTAGAAAGAACAGGTTGCTTTACATGGATCTCTTCTATGAAAACTCTGAAGGACTAAAACAGAATTTTCTACCATTTCAGGTCCTCAGTCCAATAAACTACTGTATCTATGCCAGACTGAATTTGGGAGAGAACTTCACAAGAGCCTAGGTGTTCGTGTTCTGATGCAATTGCCCACTCTGCAGTCAGAACAGCATTGATTCTTGCTACTAGAGCCGAGACTGCAGGGAGGCACTGAATCACCAGAACGTTCCTGCACATCTTACCCCTGAGGTCTGCATGGATCAGTGACTAAGCCTTTATACCTGAAATGACATCTCATCTATTTCAGCTGGCCTCACTGGAGGGGGGGGGGGGGCGGAATCTAATTGATCTATACAGGATCTTGCCATTTCCCTTTTAGCAAATATTTAATTTCAATCTTTCATACAGCTTGTCCATGCTGCCCACACACTTCATTCAATTATGAAAGAGCTTGGAAGGTAGAAAATGATGCCAAATGAGTAAAGACTGTGACAAACAATAATTTGAAAGGTAAGTTGGAGGTATCATCAACTCCAGATACTGTGGAAGGAATATGAAATGATATTCCAGCAATAACACTTATTGCACTGTTAAGAAAACAGGGGAACTGACTGGCCCAACAACATGTGTAAGTGGAAATGAAAGGAAGGCAGGGCAAAAAGTGGAAGGTGTCCAGGAGAAGGAAGGATACTGGCTTGGCATTCTAAAACCACTAACCTGGGACTTTCCTGGTGGTCCTGTGATTAGGACTCCAGGCTCCCAATGCAGGGGGCACTGGTTCAAGCTCATTGGGAAACTATGCCACATGATAGGGCCAAAAAAGTAAACCCACTAACCCCTAATACAGGTTCAGTGCGGACTACCATGTCAGCAGGCACCCTGATGAGGCTAGTGGCTCAAAGCAAAGCCAGTTGATAGACAGGCATGGTGGGACCACACCCTTGCTCGGGGTCCAGCTTATTTCAGGGGTGAGCATCCCTGTGTACTCTGTTCTAACCACATGCTTCTCAAGAGGAAGCACCAGGAGCTCCTGTTTGCATAGCGATGCTCCCATGCTCAGTTCTCTGGTCAACTCATCTGGCATGTGGACCAGGCTTATGAGTGTCAAGTATGCGGTTCAGGCAGGCAGGGGAGGCCATTTGCAGTGAAGAATGAGCACCAGATTTTTAAGAAGGATTTTCTATGACTTAAACTCCCTGGGTAAAGGCTCCAAGAAATAATCTGTTCATCACAATCAGCTTGGATCAAGTTCTTCTTGGCAGGATCAGCACAATTTTAAAGAGGCCTGGGGTTGGGAAAACACTGCCCAACTTGGAAACAGATTGTTTTCAGGTTTCATATTATTCATTTTTGTTTCCTCAGCCCCAAGCATTTTTTTTCTCTGCTTAACTACAAAGAAGTACATTTTTATGTAATCCAATAGATATTTATGCTGGGCACATGTTTGTGCTAGAGAAGAGGGTAGACTGAGTAATACAGACTCGGTGCTTGCTCTAATGGAGCTTGCATTTCAACTGGTGGAGACAGATGACAAAGTAGGCAAAATAAAACAAAACAAAAAACATGGTGTAATGTGAAGAGCATGGGCCCTGAAGCCAGACTGATTGGACCTAGGTTAACTGTGTGGCCTGGAACAAATTAATCTCTCAGTGCTCCATTTTTCCTCATCTAAGGATTGCAGAAGATAATTCCTACCTTACAGGCTTGTTAGTGAGAATTTAATGAGTTGATACATATTCTGTTCATTGACTGATTTATCCTTACAACAGAGAGCTTAAGAATAGCTCCCAGTACATAGGTGTGCAATGTAGGATAGTTAAAAGAAATTAAGACAGTAAGGACTTGCACATTGTGATAAATCTCTCCAGTTAATCTATTAATAGCACTTACCTTATTCTGTCAAGGAATTCTAAGTTTCTAAAGGGTAAGGACCATATTCTGAATATCTTAGCATCCTTATAGCACCTAGTATGTAAGTGCTTAATAACTATTGGAATAAATATGAAGGAATCTACAGTTTTCCATTAAAAGATTTAATAATGCAATGTTAACTTCTCAGGGACTCCTATAATTTTTCAGTTTGGTACTAGGAAACTGACTGACAACAAACTGTCATAATTTATATTAAGAATTGCATAATCCATCATGCTTCATATTTTCTGCCTTGGCTGCTGGGAAGCTTTGTATTTCCTGATTTTCTACATGAATTTTGCTACTCTGATGTTTTAACAGCCTTAATATAAAGTCAAAAGTAAACTACAAAGTTTACACACCTGCCAAAATTGCTATATTTAGAGCTTTTCTTTGAGCATAATACACTCACAGTATATAGGGGAAAAAGGTAAACCTAGATTAAATTCTAGGTTTGGTTTTCGAACTAATCAGATGAAGCCCTGCCCATGAGTATCGTTCTGGTGTATTTTGTGGTTTCTAGTCATTGCCACATGTGCTTCTCTAAAACATCTGGAAGATGCTGTTGGTTTAAGTGAATTTGTCAGTTGAATTTGCACAGCAGTTGCACCAGTTGTGGTCACAACCATCTAATCACTCAAAGGTAGCAGGAAGGAAGAACCTGTTTGAGGGGCAAAGTGGAAATGAAAGATTCAAAATAGTATGTAAAGATTCCAGGTGAATGCTAAGGCAGGATGGCTATCTTAGTAATCACAGATGCCAATCAGAAACACTTGTCTCACTAACTTTCACGGGCATCTGTGGTCAAGCCTGTATAAGGAGAGAAAAACTGTGTCAGGGTAATCTAGAGCAATTAAGAATGCAGATATCTTTGAAACTAACTTCTTCGATGTGTGTGGGGTCAGGGAAGAAGTGGGGGAAAACAGAAGCTTGCCAGATATTCTGTGTGTAGTAAGCAGCCCCAATGCCTTACTAAAAGTGATTTCCTTTAAGAGCATGCGTCTCTTTAAATGTTGTAATTATGCAAAGTGTTTTCCTCTTTCCTAGTTCGCCTGCTGCAGACATCAACTGCTGCAGAAACATTTGGGAACCTGAAAGAGAGCCCTATAAATGTGTGCCCATCACAGAGGTCTAGTAGACAGCTCTTCCTTCCCAGGGCTGGACTCTCACTCAGAATATCCCTGGGTGCCTGTGGCAGTCACACTTGGTCTCCCTTCCGACCAAGTCATTGGGAGGCAGCCATCTATAGAAATCACTCTTGTGAACCAATCACTCATGATAACCAGCCAATGCTTCCCAGTGCTGATTTATCAGCTCTTTCAAACTATCTCTAAAACTCTAGAACAGTGGTTGTCATCCTTGGACACAACACAATTGCCCAGGGAGCTTTACAAACTACTAATGCCCGACCCCATCCTAGAATTTTTGCTTGAGTTGCTCTGGGTGAAGCCTGGACACCAGAAGTTTTAACAGCTCCTCAGGTGATTCTAGGGATTCCCCAGATAGCACAGTGGTAAAGTACCTGCCTGTCAAAGCAGAGATGCAAGAGACGCGGATTTGATCCCTGGCTGGGGAAGGTCCCCTGGAGGAGGAAATAGCAACCCACTCCAGTATTCTTGACTGGAGAATTCCTTGGACAGAGAAGTCTGGCGGGCTAGAGTCCATGGGGTTGCAGAGTCGGACGTGACTGATGGACTGAGCACGCATGCACGCAGGTGATTCTAACATGTAGCCAAAGCTGAGCCTTACAACTCTGGCAGTTCTCTAATGTGAGAGTGCATCATGGTTGCCTGGAGGGCCTGTTGGAATACAGAGCTGGGCCCTACCCCTGGAGACTGATTCAGTAGGTCTGGGGTGGGGCCTGAAAATCTGTATGTTTAACAAGTCCCAGGTGAAGCTGATGTTGCAGGTTTGGAGAATCACACTGCTCTAGATGCTTACAGAGATGTCCATGGCAGGAAATAAGACATACTTCTGAGGAACCGTTCAAAGAAAGAAATCCTTCCCTGTTTCAATGTTCAAAAGAAGTCCTGAAGGTCATGACGTGGTTCCTAAGTTCCAGTTTAGATAGTGTTATCTACAGCTGTATGACCTCCTTGCATGGAAAAGTAGAAACCAGGCAGTTCACTTTCTTTCTTAAAAAGTTAGGGTCATTACTACCGAAAAGGATGGCAGCCCTCACAGGTCAGGAGTGTGCCTCAAACTCTGTGTGCAAGATGACTGGGGATCACAATCAGTGAGCGCATGTGTTCACAAGCTAAGGAAGGTTTGAACTATGATCTCAAATCTTAGCTTGGAAACTGAGCTACTTTGGGCTTCCTTGAATATTATAATTTCTTAAAGAGCTACTTACCTTCATGGCTACCGGAGAAGTAGCCCCCTCTCATGTAGGACTGGCAGTTAGGCACTTCTGAAAGAGAAACACACTCCTGTCAATGGTCTCTGCAGCTGAAACTGGCAGAGGGAAAGCCCTTAAACCTCCAGCCCCGAGGTCATGTCTTTCTGGCCTTGTCTTGGGAAAGGGGTACCACCCCTTTTTTGCGTCGCACCGCCCCCCCACTAAAAAAAAAAATCTAAAATAAGCGGAAATAAAGAAGAGGAAAGAGTTTCTAAACATGCAAAATTCCCACTCTTTCCATTAATGATCTCATTTAATAAGCTTGGCCTACAAGATGGGAAATCAGTGAATGTGTGGGTGGGAGTAAAGAGGACCCCCAAAGACAGCTGGAAATTTGTGTTTAACTTTCTAGACAAGAAGCCAAAAAGCAAACAATAGGTGTTTCAAGATGTTACACCTCTCCCTGAGTACACTGGCAGCTGAAGGACACAGGAATTTTCCCAGATGAAAGTATTGCAGCAGACTAGTGACTCCTATGAAGCAACCAACAGGTCAAACTTTTCCATGGCATACCCAGATCCCATACAGCCATGACAAACCAGATACTTTCTCAGAACGCTATTCAACCATAGAGTCCCGTCCTACGTGTGGACTCTCCTATACTTACATTGGGAGTTCAATGGGTCACTGTATTCAAAAAAGGTCACAAAACTAGAGGCAGGACTAACATGCAGAAATATCCTTTGTCTAGTGACTTTAAGATAACAGGCCTTAAAGGGCATCATCACCAAGACTGGGTGCCGGCAATCTTCAGATATGACTCAGGTATACTCTGCATGACATCTGAATGTCTACTGTGCTTCCTACCATTTGCATGACTTTTCTGTTCTGTATTAAGTTATGCATAAACATGTTTGCTTTACTAGCTTCTAACTTCTTTGAGGGCAAATTTTAGAAAACTATTCCCCAAAGCCCTGTACACAGAAGGCACTCGGTAACACCCAGACGAATGAATGAGACGATGAAGACAGGAGTCGTGTGATGTTATGCTCGCCTGAATCAACGCAGTAATCCCGGGGCTCCTGCTTGATTCCCACTTGCGACTGGAACCCATGCGCTGGGGGGCCAGGCATGCCTGGGGCCCCACGTTCATAGAGCGGGTCATGGTATTCTTGCTTGAATCCCTGAGCGGGTGGGGGAGCCGCAGGAACAATGGGTTCTGACATTTGCCGGTGGTAATTAGGGCGATTATCTCCAGGAACTCCTGACTGAGGAGGGAAGGGGTGGCAGGGTTCAGACAGCTGTCTCTGAAATCTGCAAGAAGAAAGCAGTTACACTGTTTAAGTAAAAATAGGATGAATATCTACTATGATTTAAGCACTGAGGATTAAAAATCCAAAGTACTCATTAATGCTTATTTCTGGATACTTCATCCTTTTCCCCAAAATTATATCACACATTTTAAATCTCTTGAGTCAGGGACCGGCCCAAAAAAAAAAAAATTACTACATCATGGTTTATTTTCCATGCGTGTTTACTTCATGCACAGTCTATGTGTATAGTTGAGCCAGATTATGTATCTGAATATATAAAACCAACTATTTGCAAATATCACTAACATTAGGTTATGTTTGTTCATTGATTCATTCGCTCATCTGTAGATAGAATTAATTTTTAAAGACTAAAGAGTATTTAACCAGAAATCAGGAATTAACCAGTTAGAAAACGTAGTTCTAAAAAAAAAAAAAAAGAAAGCCATATGTAATAGCAATCAAAAACAAAATCCCTAAGAAAAATTACAAAATGTGTAGGCTATACAACAAAACTTAAAATTTTTCTGAGCAACAGATCTAATTAAAGATAAAATGTTTAGGACTTGGAAAGTTTTCACTCACTGATTCTATAAAAGCAACGCCTTCCCAACCAATTCAACAAAATGAGTCTAAATTTTATTTAAATGATTAATTGTGAAATAATGCTCTACTAGATATTGATAAATATCATTAAGCCACAACAACTGGAATACAAAGAATGAAATGTATGTCAAAGTATTGACTAAGTCACAAACTTAGAATAAGTCAAGAATATTCCAAAATTTTCTATTTGTCAAGGTTAGCATTTCAAATAAGTTGGGGGAAAGATCCCTGTTTTATACCATATGCCAAAATAAATTTTATATAAAGATTTCAATGTGAAACCATGATAGTAAACATATACAAAAAAATAATCTTGGGGAGGGAACATTTCTATATATCATACCAATAGCAGAAATCAAGATAAACATGGGTATGTATCCTTGCATAAACTTCTGTAAGTCAAACACCAGAAACAAAACCTGAAGAAAGACAAACTGGGGGAATAATTCTGTAATAGTCAGAAAATACCAGAAATAAGACCCTAAATTAAACTGAAAATCTCTAGCAGCTATAGCAATGTTCATATGGTTTGCTATAAGGGCCATGCTTTGTATTCTTAGTAGCCTATAGAATGGAAACCTACCCCCAATTCAAGAATGTTGCAAAGCAATAGAATAAAAGAATACAGACTGCGGTGAGGGAAATTAATAAAAGATGGACATGCCAACAGAAAAAAAAATGGGTAAAGAACACAAATAGGGAAATCACTAAAGAAACGCAAATGGTCATAAACAAAGTTCAACTTCATCAATAAGCAAAGTAAGTCTAAAAGTCAACAATGTAAGCCTATAAGGTCTTACTCTCTACTTTTAGTTTGAATCCTATCAATGCTATTTCTGCTAAGTCACTTCAGTCGTGTCTGACGCTGGGATTCTCCAGGCAAGAACACTGGACTGGGTTGCCATTTCCTTCTCCAATGCATAAAAGTGAAAAGTGAAAGTGAAGTCGCTCAGTCATGTCCAACTCTTCACGACCCCATGGACTGCAGCCTACCAGGTTCCTCCGTCCATGGGATTTTCCAGGCAAGAGTACTGGAGTGGGGTGCCATTGCCTTCTCCGAAGAATCCTATCAATAGCTTTAAGCAAATAACTTGATCTGAATCAATTTGTGACATCTAAGGGCCAACAGATTTCTAGAACATCAAGATTTAAAATCTTAGTGAAGAGATTCGTGTGAAGAATAAAACACTTTAAATCAGGACTCTCACTTTGAGTCTTTACTATCTTACCAATAGCAGTACCACAAGATCCTTTATAACAGGAAGATCCCCAAACTATTTTACATACATTTATCCTTTTATACCAAAAGCATCAGGATCTGATTGATGAAATTACTGAAACAAGTTTTATGAACTCTAAGGATCAGGGGGTACTGCATGCTGTGACAGTGGACTGTCAATCAGGAATGCTGATTTTCAAGGTTATTGCTATTTCAGGAAACCCTTGCATGGTCTTTGAAGTATAAATCTGAAACGTGTTTAGGTTTGATATTTGGAATACAGGCACCAGCAACAGGCTGCAAACCTGATTTTGTAAAGAAAATTCTGAAGTGGGCAGGAAAGTGAGGATATTCTTTAGGCTTATTTTCATTAAAGTATCCAGAGCTTATGCCAGCAAGAACAGTAACAAGGGCACCCACTGTCCATGTCTTCTCCCCTCCTGCCTCTGCAACCTTCCAAGGTGACCTCCCCAAATCGCTTCCTTGATGGCTCTGAGATGGCACGGAACCAACGCCGCTCTGTAACCAGAGCCAGTGCAGCTGGCAGGCCCATCACTTCACTTCCGCTCAGCGCTCATCTTCTCGCTTTCCAGAATGAAACTCTAGAGTTGGCCTAGTCCGATGCCCTCAGGAAAAGGTGCTTCCATATGGGTACCAGCCAGCAACCTTCATCCCCTCCCTGCAGCATAACTTTAAGGATGTATGAAGCTTACAGGCCTGGGATCTGTGGAACACGTTCTACAACTGGGATTGGCTTGTCCTGGTTTTGTTTTGAGAGAGCGGGAGTGGCAAAGGGCAGCTTAAGGGTAGGTCATAAAACCAACATATTTGGAAGAAAGATTTCTCTCTGAGCTTGCTGCCGATAATAACAGCTTTTATTTGTAGAGATTAGTAAAGTAATTCAGTTCTTGTCCTCAAAATACACTCTGTGCACTTCAACCACTGACCTTCATTTGAACCCCCTTCCCGCAATGCAATCCTTTTGAAGTAGCTGAGAATGTGTTGTATACATAGTACAGCTACAACAGAGATGCCTGTTGTTTACTGAGGCAGGCAATCATTTTCCAAGGAGGGAAGGCTTGGTTCCTAACAGACCTCTTCCTCCCCCAACTAGCCACCCCGCCCCGTTATCCCAGCAGAGCTCAGGCCATCATGAGCTCACAGTTGGTGAGCAAAAGGACACTTCTGACTACTGAGCAAGCCTATATTCAATAGGTTACAGATTAAGGCTTTCTCAGTGCCAGTTTATTTAAAGAACCAGTTATTTATTTATTTGTCAGATTTATATAGCGCCTTTCCTCCCAAGAGCTCACCCACGCTACCAACATTTGGTTTACATTATGAAAACCGTTAGATGCTTTTTCTGCATTTCCTTTTTGGTTTCTGCTGCCAACACAGAGTAAACACAATACTTAGAGAAAAAAAGGAGAAAAGTGTGGATTCAACGAAGGCTATACAGTGGCCCTGGGTGCCAGGTGAAGGAGTGAGCGGTTCAGAGGTCAGCTGAGATGATATGGAAAACTGGCCAAGAAACTACCACCACGTACTTAATATTCTGTTAGAGCAAAGAAAAAATTGGAAACAGCGAAGCAGCACAGCTCAGTAAAAGAGGCTCTGGCTGCAAAGCTGGCACATCCTGGGCTGAAATCCAATCTTTATAACTTACTGACCCAAGGTCACAGAGCTAGTTACATAACTGCTCTGAGCCTCAGTTTCCTCATCAGGAAAGTAAGAACAATCAGGTTACTTGTCCCAAGGATCTGTTGTAAAGGTTACATAAGACAACCCATGTAAAATGTCGCAGCACACTGCTAGGTTCTTAGATACACATTACTCTCAGACATCAACTATCCGACCGCCTCCCCACAGCCTGCCACAAGCTAAATTCAGAAATTATGCAAAATGGTAGGGAAGATCTTAAGGAACTGGGAGACTTGCACACACACAAGAGTCCCCTTGCTACCTAGACAGCCTTTAGTCTCCTTTCTCAGAAAGAGAATGCTGATTTTTATTCCAGGTTGCATCGTGCCACCCAATTTCAATTAATATTTATTTTCCTGCCATATACCAAGAGCCAGGCACTGCTGCAAAAGAAAACCCAAACGCTGCCCCTAAAAGCCCACCAAACAGCTCTGAAACAGCTCTCAGAACTTTGTGTGAGGCCTGTTGGCAATTAGACTCAAATTGACCCATCCAAACTGTGACAGAACACAGAGATGAGGAACCAAGTATGCCTTTTAAAGGCCTAGATATTTGATTTTTCAAGATCAAATATGGAAGGTAATGTAAATACAAGATCTTCCCAGGAGATTAGATGGTAAAAGTATTAGTTTTTTATGTATACAACTTAAATGAGTCTAAAGATGAAAAGATTAGGGGTAGAAAACTTTACATTTTTAAAACTTTAAACAAGAAGCTAAAAGTTTCTAGGTAATAGTATCTATATCATTTTAGGAAGATTCCTTTAGTAGTTTTCTTTATGGAACATAAAAGTGATTTTTAAAACAAGATTGTCATGTCATGTTTGAGTACTTTCCCTATGCCAATGTGATTAAGTCACCCAATGATTCTATGTGTAAGTATCTAGTAGTCTCCTATTTTCAGATAAAGAAACCAAAGCCTGGGAAAATTAAATGCCTCCCTGAGGTCACACAGATAGGAAATAGCAGAGTTGGGATTCAATTCCAGATCTGTTAACCTGTTCAACTCCAGAGCCTATATTATTCATACAATTGTTTCTATAATTGTTTTTAAATACCTTCTTGATGACATTTAAATATATAGTCCAGGCAGCTAGAAAACTTAAGTTTGGAAATTCAGAAATATACATTTGAAGACCTCGAGGATTGAAGAAATAATAAACACTTGAAACTTAATTTTTAAAATACCACAGGTCAGAACTTGTGGGGTGTAGCTAAAGCAGAACTTGGGTAGGGAGATCAAATAATCGATTACTTGTAAGCAGGATATTTTGGGGAGTAAAAAGAAAAGCTATCAGGAATTACTTTCACAAGCTATGTGACCCAGGAAAAACTGAAGGTATGGTCACCCCAACCTTAGGAGAAATCTTATTTGGTCATGTATTTAGAGTATAAAGAAGCTACAAGTTAGCCAACCAAAGAAGCTAAAACAGAATAAACAAAAAATACAGAAAATCTCAGCAGGAGCAGAAACCAATG